ATCCAGTCGGTTAAGTACTTAGAGGTATATACCTACTAAGTAATTTTTTGACACGATCTGGTCAGAAACGAGATCATTATCTATATATATATATATAAAAGAAAGTCGTGTTAGTTACACTATTTATAACTCAAGAACGACTAAATCTATTTGGATGAAAATTGGCAGGGAGGCAGCTTAGAACCAGGAGACGGACATAGGACACTTTTTATCTAAATTGTTTTTTTTTTACTTTTACCGAAAATCACAGAACGGGGGGGAAATGGGATTGCGCGTGCGAAGTCGCGGGCAGAAGTTAGTTTTAAAATAGGTTTTAGTCTGCATCTTAGCCCGCGTGGTCAATGGAGTCGGTAAAAAAAGAAATAAAAATAAACATGAAGAAAACCAAAATCAAAAAACATTTTCGAAACTAAAAGTTATTTAAAAAATATATACCTACATATGCGTGTACGTAATTGTGATTGAGTGTGTGACGGTGTGAACTGAGTATGTGACAGTATGAGTGTGGGTTAGTGTAAATACTATAGTTAATACAAAATGTAATAAATAAGTGAAAATAGACTTTCTTTTAAATACAGACTCAATAAAAACTTCACAACATTAACAAAAAAAGACACTAAAAAAGGCAACAAAAAATCTTTTATCTCTTCATTGTTAATTCGTTTAATGTTATAAAACTCTCCTCAGCCATACTCGGCAAGTCCATTATAAATTATAATAATCTTTTCTCCTTCACCAACTTTTGGTCCTCGATTTTGTTCGTTAAGAAACCGATTCTATTTTTAGAACATCGTTTGGTCTAAACGATTTCCTTCGATTCTAATATCGGACCAAACTTTCCATTGAGTTTTTCCCTCGACTTTCCACGTGTCTTGGATTATTCGTACTGGTGATATTGATTTCGTAACAAACTTTTTATCTCCGTCAAAGTCAAAGTCAAAGCATTTATTTCAATTAAATCATAATTTGGTACTTTCAAACGTCAACAAATACAAAATAAATAATAGTCTGTCAGTCAATCCGTTATTGAAGCTAGGTGAAGCTAGGTGCTCATTCGAAAATGTAGATTCGAATGGAGAAGGACGAGCAAGAAACTCCATTCACTCTTTTTAAAAAAGTATGTTCTACAATGTATATGTGAGAACAATGCAAAGACACGCTTGACCCATTATAGGTACTAATAACAAACCTTACTAAAATAAAAAAAATCTTATAGTCTAACATGGTGCTCACATATGCATACTGGCAATCCATAAAAATAGTGCTTCTATACAAGAAAAATGTTTCAATAAAGAAAGAAATGTTCGATACCGAAGGAGTTAGGTGCATATTTTTTTTTATTTAGAACACCTTTTTCACCAGTTATGGTGTCGAGTCTCGATTAAAGGGTGTTCGCAATATGCTTTGCACTGCTGGAAATTTTCGAAAACTATAAAATACGTTGGCCGACTTGGGAATTAAAGTTCTTTTATAAGCCTTGATAGGCCATCAGAGCTCATACGAAAACAAATTTTAAGCGGCTTTAAAAACAATAAAATTAGATTCTCAGTTTAACCTCTTATGACGTATGTATGTATGTATGTTTGTGCACGATTATCATGCGATTGACATGTCGTGGTAGCCCGGAGGTTTAAGACGCTGGCTTCTCATTCATAAAAATGCGGGTTTGAAACCTACCAACGGCAAGAACCAGAGTGACTTTTCCCAAATTATATGTACTTTCTAAGATTATTTAGACACCACTGACAAACGGTGAAGGAAAATATCGTGAGAAACCTGGGCTTATAATTTCTAATTATAAGTTTGTAATCGCCAACCCGCATTGAGCAAGCGTGGGGATTAATGCTCAAACCTTCTCCGTGTGAGAATAGGCTTTGCTCAGCAGTGGGCATTGATGATCTTGCGATTGACTGAACCAATTTTGGTACGGTTTTCAGAAAAGTGTTTGTTTCACTTGGGAGAAGGATTTAGTATGTTAATTAACCGACTTCAAAAAAAGACGGGGTTGAAGTGTGTTTTTTAAACGTAAAATAAAAGAAATATTTAATGAGGCGACGTTTGACCACTATCTCGCTATTCGACTAACGAGACATTTAGTGACTATGTTTCTTACTTTATACTTTTCTTATAATAATAATAACTCTTTATTTCAGACTCTGAGATCCATGGTTATATGCACAGTAGTAAATTAAAACAAATAGAAATGTAAAATATAAGATAGTAATAATTATGTTATAATTTTTTCTGATTAGACAATATTTTCCTATGAAAAAACTAACTAAAACATACGTTACCTCACGCCTGTCTCCTATGGGTAGCCACTTACGCAGATACTATGGAACACCATTTGCTACAATTCTTAGATACCCCTTTCGCTTAAACTAAGTATCCTTGACTTATATATTATTATAGCCATAATTACTTAAAAAAAATAAATAAAACACTTTGCAAAAGCAATTTGTACGCAAGAAAAAACAACAAAGTAAATTAACGAACAAACAAAATACTTCATTTTCGAAGAAAATTTTCTCTCAACTGTAACTATAAGGAGCAAGGTCACTCAATATCCTAAGTGTCACGGACAGACCTACGAAATAAATTGATGTCCAGCCAACAAGTGGCTCCAGGGGGCACTCTAGGGGTGCTGGGGGTGTGGTAGGGGGCCTGGGGGTTCCAAACCATTGCCTCCTTGTGTATTCGATGGAAAACTTATTTTTGCAACGAACGCGCGATTGAGTTAACATATTGCGGTATCGGGGCGCCTGTTTATTTTTGGATCATATTTTTTTCGGGATCATTGTGGGAATATTGTATCTCCGTGCTTGTAATCGTAAGTGGGAGTCGGAACTGTATGTTGTTGTGGATAGATGTGCTTTAGAAGTTTAGGTTACCTTCGTGAAATTCACGTTGTGATTGTACTGCGGATTTTTTGTATTGCTGATGCAACAAACATGTCTAAAGATATACGTAAGTATTTAAATACCAAACTATCCTTTATCTGTTACCTAGAGTCCTTAGTAATTAAAATTGTCGTCCTAAAAAATATTTCTGAGGTAGGTACCCAAAGAGGTTTAAACGAAACACTGCAAAAAGGAAAGTAACGAAAAAAATACATTCAGCCTAAACCTTTCAATATACATAAACCAGCTCCCACTAAAAGCTATCGCCAAAAGCAAACAGGACAAAACGTTAATTGAAAACAATTACATTTGAGGCAGCCCTAACGCTACACATAACTAAAGCAAACACCAGCCAAAGGGCTAAAAGCCAGGAACTAGGGTTGTCTCGACGCAAACAAATGGAGACAGGCGGTCGCAACACAATTACTGAACTCCCTCTCAAATTGTCAGTAAGAACGTCTCGACAAATGTAATGAGTATCAGTACAACCAGCGCCGTATTGACCTTAAGGGAAACTGGGCAAGTGACTAGGGCGCCAGAATACAGAGGAGCACCAAGAGATGAGCAAATCTTATAAAGTGGCGGCGGCGCCAAAAAAATTAGGGATGCCTATGAGATAATGCGCTCTCTCCAATTTTTGCCTTCGCCGGATCATTAACTATTTTGAACATATAGCGAGACGCGGGGAGAATAGCTTGGAGAAGCTCATTATCGTGGGAAACGACTGCACGGTTGGCGCGGTGTCTGGGCAACTGGCTGTCGCGCGACGTGTACCGGGTTCGATTCCTGCACGGAGCACTGTGTATCGAAGTCGATATACACTGTTTGTGAGATTCACAAATTTTTGATTCGGGTCTGAGGGTCATGTGTATGTTTGTAAACGTATACACGACACAGGAGAAAATCCTAATCTCAGCCTTGCTAAAAAGAAAAAAAAAATTAGGGAGGAGGGTAAGAGGACGATCGCTACTAGATAGACTAGTTCAAGGACAACCCAGCATCATGGTTCTTCATCACAATTCAAATGGCCGCACACAGGAGCCGGTGGATACAATTCGTCTGATCCAGGGTGATGCCAGGATGATCACGATCCTCAGTCATGAGGGAACAACCGGGAGAGAGATGAAATGCTTACCAAGGGCGCTCTTTGGGCTTAATACACCTCTGGCTACATACTAAATAGAACTTTCCAGAAATATAGAGGGTGTCACTTTTAGACAACTTATTCTACAGGTTGTTGTTTTTAAAGGGATTTCACGAAATTGTCTCTCGTGGTGAAATTTCTGTGGAAACTTTAGTTTTGATGGTGTGACTCGAATCTCGAGTGTACGTACATAGTTTAGATTAGTTGGAAATGTTTCCTTGTAAGTTTAGGCGACATTTGTACGTGGGTTGTGGCCTGTGTCTTATTACTTACGGGAAATTTAAAACATGACTTGCTGCTTGGCTGTAGTTTAGAAAGTAGGACATATTGTTAATTTGTACTGTTAACCGCCAGAAGGTTCTGGTTATAATCTCTTTTTCTAATTGTATCTGTTTTTATTTAAACACTAGCTACTGCCCGCGACTTCGTACGCGTAATCCCATTTTTTTCCGTCCCCGTTCGTGATTTTCGGTAAAAAGTAAAAGTAAAAAAGTATTGGTTAAAAAGTATCCTATGACGGTCTCCTGGCTCTAAGCTACCTCCCCATCAATTTTCAGCCAAATCTATTCTACCGTTCTTGAGTTATAAGTGGTGTAACTAACACGACTTTGTTTTATATATATAGATTTCTAAAACTCTTTAAATATAACTGCTAAGCGAGAATATTAACCCTATTCCAGATCGTGGTCTGAACCTAATCCTCGCGAGGAGTTCCAGGTTTTATACATCACATTTAAAAATTACCACAAAGTAGTGCCTTTTGCAGTTCAGACTTAAAATAAAATTATTTTTAATTTGTAAATATTTTAGTTTTTAGTTAGTTATATTTTAAGTTGTATATATTTATATATTCAATTAACTTGAATACAAATGTATCATATTATGTATAATGTAGGAATAATAATAAATGTTGCCATAATAATCTCAAATAAAATTAACAAATAAATTGTACTTACAAAAGTGGTGTTTGGCATAAGTGTTTTCGTGGTCTGATTGGCTGCAAACATAAGGCTGATGCCGCCGTAGGTGTCACGGAATATGAACTCATCACCTGAAACAAAAAGAAACCTTATTTAGTAAACAATAGAGGTAATATTTGCTTAACAATCCATGTCTATTTATTATAACCCGAAGGTTCGATCGAGAAAAGTTATTATTAACTGTATATCGACTTCTAACGCTATGACGTAAACACAATATATTGGTTCACTCGTGAATCGAACTGGAGGCGTGAGTCAGAATAAATTTCCACTAAGATCAATAAATAGGAACAGGATCCCTTAGTTGGTTCGTATGCCACCCACTGGAAGAGCGGTGGTGACAATTGTTACGTAATATATGTACCTATATACAATAGATATTTACTTCCTTATCATATAAGTAATCAAACATTTACAATAAAATATTTAAATCAATCATATTAAGAGGATTGTTAAACAATTCGCCCGATACTAAAGTTTGTTACCGAAACAAACATTTGATGTATTCGCCACATGAAACAACCAAAGAGATTTGTTTGTATGCTCTGATCTCCTGGTATGTGCTCTTTAAACTACCAGGAGTTCAGCGGTATTAGTTTCAATTTGTGTGTTTGAGAGGAATTGTAGTTGAGAAAACCATACATAGATTTTAAAAAATATATCTGTTCATAACGTTTATTAGGGATAGTTTTGTGTAAATGTAAGTTTAATTAATGTTCTATGTGATTATGTTCTTTTGTTTTTCTTTGTCTAAATTATTTTACGGTTATTAAGGGATTATGTGTAATAGTTAATGTTGATGAAGGTATAAGGTTAAATAAAAATAAAAAAAATATTTTTAAGTTCATTAGGTAGTTATTGTGGTATCAAACGTGGCAGCAAATAACTAATTGTTATTTCCTTATCAGTACTTCACACCTAACACTCAATAAGTTATTGCATTTCACATGAAGAAAAGACTTCGTAGTTATATCATCATCACCATCATCATAACAGCCATAGGACGTTCACAGCTGAACATAGGCCTCCCCTAATAACTTCCATATAGGCCTGTTGGTAACGACCTGCATCAAAAGGCTCCCTGCGACCTTAATTAGGTCATCATTTCACTTTTTTTTTTATTCAACACGATTTTAAACAACCCACACAAACTAACCACCATTAGAAACTACCGATCTATGTACCAGGAGCTTATATCTTGAAGGAGTTTACTCTAATGTGGTCACATAGTTGGTTAATGTACCACATAATGGCGCTAGACGCATTAGCCGTATCGTTCTAATGGCTGTCGGAATTAATTGTAAATACTTTACTAAGTATGCAATTACCATCAATCTTCCTTTAAATGCATGTTATTATTATTTCAAGTGGGTTTGGTGGTAGAATGTATGTTACAACATGTTTTAAGTGGTTACGTGAGGTTGTATATTATGAAAATGAAGATTATTACTATAGCTCTCTCTCTTTTATATCTAAAATATAGTTGCAAAGTACTTTATAAACTATAATGCACGAAGTATCTAAAATGAATAAAACAATATGCGTCTTCACATTTTTTTCTCATTTTTTTTTAAACTTTCGTTGTGACATCTTGACTTTATTTATTTGTTTCTCAAAACACTTTATAATTATGAAATAAGACAAAATTTTAAATATGAAGTTTAAAATAAATCACATAGGTACTATTAGCAGAAGATAAATCAATCAATCAATTATCTACAAAGCATACCTAGATGTTATTTTATAGCTGCATGATTGCGCGCTCCAAGATGCTACGCATTGCTACGTAAATTCGTAGCGCTACGAGCTGCTACGCTGAGCACGAGATAGTATTACGGAATGTTGATTGTGATGGAAAGCTAGTACTATAAACGCCGTATCTATAACAAACTAGCGTCAAACATGAATGTTATATTCACATTACACATCCACAGCTTATTAGTAGCCACTACTGACCAAAGACCTCTTCTCCCACGAAGAAGGTTTGAGCATTAATCACCACGCTTCCTCAATGCGGGTTAACGATTTCAAACTTATAATTAAACATTACAAGCCCAGGTTACCTCACGACGTTTTCCTTCACCGTTTGTCAGTGGTGTCTAAATTATCTTAGAAAGTACATATAAATCGGATAAAGTCACATTGGTACTTTTTATTGGTAACATTCAGCGCCCTCATACATGAGAAGCGAGGATGTCTTAAGCCTCCGGGCCACCATGACCTTAAATATTATATACCTGAATATGAAATGTTATATACCACGTCGTATGTGAAATTTGTGTGTCCCTATTAGAGTAGTTCATGGACTTGAAGATAGTACAGGACCCTTTCATAATTAACCTTTACTAGTACAGAAGCAAAGTGAAAAGAAATCTATGTTACAATGTAATTAGTGCGGTGGTTTGCTCAGTTGCCTGGCGGACGGGTTATCTCACCGCGTCACAGACACTCCGCCGATGACCGGATTGTATAATTACGGTCCATTGTGAGTTGACCGCCTGTTACACCGGACCGTAATTTCCCTGGCGTGGAACATGTCTGTGATATTAATTACGTTCTTTTTGTAAAGGTTTTTGTACGTTTTTCAATATTCTGTGTTAGGAAATGTGATACGTTTTAATTTTCTTAGGGCTGATTCCAACGCCAGGTGAATTTTAGCTCAGGAATAACTTGGAACATTTGACAATATTCTTCCATACTAGAAACTGTCAAATTTCAATTTTAGTCTATAGTTAAATATTAACTGATGATTAAAAAATTGGCCCCTCATTGGTAAGTCAGGAAACGAACGATATTTTTTAATAGTTTTGAAGTTATTGAAGTAACTGTTTGAAAACCTAACTTTTTTTACGTAATAATTTGATTCAGAGTAAAGGAGGTTTAAGTAAATATAATATTTTACTAAAAGAAAAGTAAACATTAGTACCATTACGTAAAGTTAAGAAAAAATCAAACAAAAGCAATTTCCTAAAGACATATCCTTAACCCTTCATCACCATCTTTAACAAACAAACGAAATTAAATAAAAGTATTTGTCAACCAACAAAAAGTTTCACAACAAGTCATCACCACGTCACAAACAGTACAGAGTATGTAATCAAACAATCGTGCGTCGTCCTCCTATTCCACCGTAATGTAATTCTCCTAATTCGGCAGTCTTCGGGGTAATTGGGTAGAAAGGAAAAAGTAATGGGAAACCTGATTTCATGATTATTGTTCGTAACGAGATCAAGAGATAAGGAAACTCCATGATTTCTTCGTCTTTGCTCCTAATTTCTGTATTAGATATTGCTAACCTTTTCATGGAGTGGTTTTGATGAGTTACAGAACTCGTAGTAATGCTTATTTCATTATTGTCTTGTTGTATTGATTTTGCATATTATTGTGATATAAGTAGATATCTCGTTGCCTGCCTCTGCCTGCCTCGTTGGTCGAGTTGTCGCAAGTGCGACTGCCGGGTAAGGGGTCCTGGGTTCGATTCCCGGGATGGGCAAAGTATTACTGTATTTTAAAAAAAATCTCTTTAGTAGCAATGAGTCTGGAATTGTGCCCGATATAAGGCAATAGGCTCACCCCCTATTACATTGGACTCATAACATAAATAGTGAAAAGTTGGTGTTACATTGTACAGTGGCTTTAAGTGCCGTAATGTGCACCTTTGCCTACCCCTTCGGGAATAAAAAGGCGTGATGTTATGTTATGTAGATATGAGTAGAGGTGTGGTTATTGTGTATCGGTTGTGCCTAACATTGTTTTTATAATAACTATGAGACATACTGAATTAACTAAAAATTACGAGTTACTCAGGGGAGTCACAGACGGAGTAGGCTGTATGTCGATGCGACCGCGCACCCTGTCCATGAGGAAGAGTCTATCTGTGAATCGAAACAAGTAGAGCTTTTCTCAGTATATTTATGTGAGTAACTCGTAATTTTTAGTTATGCCTAACATTAATTAAAATTTAAAAGATAAGAATATTAGGAGTATTTAAGTTAAAAATCTTGGTTTCCAATACTTTGCACAGCCTCTAGCATCAATTTCGAAAAAATTTTCTCATTACACTTTTACTTAAGATTTATAAATAATTGACTGTACAAGAATTACAATCAATTTTGTACATTATTCATACATTGTTTATCATGCAGTAGACATACAAAGTAAAAAAGCGTACAACATTTATTATTCACCATAAAATACACAACACATAGAAATATCGCAAATAAGCGTACAACAAAGCGATAGCTAATGGCAACGATAAAATATGATTACATACTTGGTCCACCACAAACGATATTTGTTTACTGCATGGGGCACGCGAGCGAACCGATTTAAATCGATTACGGTGTGACGAGCGGACCGCTGCCAATTTCACGTTATTATCGCACCAATCAACGTAATTATTTCACATTTTATAATGAAATTATTTTATTAAAATCGATTTGATTTGAATCGATATTATTTTAGACTGGATTTTGTTATGCAGTACACGTTACTGGCTGGTACGTGCCATTTGAATACGGAAGGTAAATTCAGAATTTCGAATATAGAACGTTAGAATATTGCGGTTTTGTTGAGCTGTCAAAACGGTTCAGTAATTTCAATGGTAGCAGGTAAATAAAGTTGTTTATTTACTGAGTTCTTTGCCTAATATTGGTGTTCAAACATGTTTACGGCATATACATGTGTATACAAAGCTACGTATATAAATACATTTGGCGTTGTAGGTTTCCTCAATTGTTATGTACATATATGAATATACATACGTGAACTTACCACCTTTGTGTCTTGAATATGAAATTGTATTTCAACTTTTTATAAGTTTGTACACTGTCAATTATTATGATTTTGATTAAAGTTCAGTGCCAACTTATAAATTATATTTCATCGAATAAACCGCTTACCTGTGCCTTTACTAGAACCAGAGAGACTAGAAATCAAAATGTATGGGAATGTCACTGACAAGCGTCAAAATTTACGTCGATTCCATATAATTTGGTTTTCTATTCTACATGTAGACAAGCGCTAAATGGCATTTGGCTACAGCTGCTGTTTTGTTACGTAAGCATCCTTACTCAAG